CAATCATCAGGCCAAATCATTTTAAAATATACTATATGGCTCTTTCGGAAATTTATTTACAAAGATTTGCTTTCTTGGCTCTCTGAGTTAGAAAGGTTGCAGACCCCTGGCCTAGACACTTGAGTGTCTAGTACGTCGACAAAGGGCCCTATGGAAGGATGGGAGGATTTTGAGCGGCGCGAACAGCAGTGCCTTTGTCGTGAATGTGTGATGGAGGCTAATCGATATACTTGCTCCCTCGTCAGCGATAAAGTGGGTACGCCGTGGCAGGTAGGATAGGGTAGGGATTCTGCCTTTTTGTCGAAGCAATTTTTATGCGAACTGTGCCCATGATTTTGCAGACAGCTTTGCTATCAGGTCATTAAGCCGTCAATATCCGTGTTTTGAAGTTAGGCCCCCTTATCGCCAGGCAGTGAGTCAAACGCGCATACATTTGATTACCTGCCCCCGCAGTTTCATATAAAGGAGAGGGGTAACTGGCGCTCATTTATCTAGCTCGATCTGCGTCCTGCGGATAGATCAGTGAAACTCGCTGCCATGTTACCTCGATGGGCTTCTGATGCGTTCAATAATCCTAAAATTCATTGTTTTTGGAATACACTAGTCAAATCCGCCTAATACTCTATTTTGCTTCAATAAAAATCTGTAACTTCTATTGCTTTGCTTATTACTTATTCCAATGAATGTCATGCTGGTTCAAATTTTTAGCTTCCAGTGGTGACTGCATGCAGAGTGCACAAAAGCTACAGTCTTTAGAACACCACGAAGAGCGCATCTGGTGTGTACAATGGAACCACACGGGCTCCATCTTGGCATCCTGTGGTGAGGACAAGTCGCTTTGCCTTTGGGTCTTGGAGGGTTAGTGTTCTGTCCACTGTAACCAATTCATATTAGGTACCTCATGGAAACTTTCGAACTCTGCGAATGATAATCATACGAAGACAATTCGGGCACTTGCGTGGTCTCCTTGCGACAGATACCTAGCTACCGCAAGTTTTGATGCTAGTGTCGTTATCATGCGCGTGGCAAAATCGGAATCTGAAATCGAGTTGCAATCCATCGCTATACTTGAAGGTATTTTTGCTTCCTCGTACAGTTTTTCTTTGTAAATTTTTATTTCTAGTCTTATACTGTTATATGCAGTTCTTATTCATTGCAAGGTTTTCCCACTTCCGGTTTTTGTTGTCTTTTAACATATCTCAGAATCTATTTACCCAAATTTCATTGAAAGCTTGTAGTGGAAAGCAATAAGCAGCATTATACCTGCAGCTTTAGTCGCAAGAAAAAGAATTATTTTTTTCTCGAGCATTCTCATCCTTTTGAAATACTAATTGGTCATGTGTTTTTGACAGCGCACATTAGAGGCCTTCCGAACGAATGTTAAATCAGTATGCTTCCATTTATATTGTGATATTACCCTGGTTTAAAGTGCGATGGCAGATACTACGTTTGCTGTGAAATCTTGATTTTTTTGATTTAGCAATTTATAAGAAACTTGCTAGACAGTAAAATAAGGAAGGTCTCGGTTTCTTTTCTCATGTCCCTCGGGCACTAATTCGAATAGTGAAGTTATCAATATGGTATACTAGTATTGTATTTTGTGTATGTAAGGCAGAAATGGTCATACTGAAATTTATGTGAAACTGCCAATATACATATAACTCCGTAAAAATTTTCATTCACCTTTTTATTCATTTTGTGAAACCTTATCTATTGTACGCATGTCGCGTAACTCACCTACTTTCAGTTATTTCTATTGTCATAAAGAAACGCGTAAACATTATTCAGTTTCATGCAGCATTAGATCACATTCCTCCCTCGTTTCTTTTAGGACATGCGAATGAGGTTAAGTGTGTCGCATGGGCTATTTCGGGCCATCTTCTTGCCACTTGTGGTCGAGATAAAAGCGTTTGGGTTTGGGAGTTTGACGACGAAGAGGATTGTCAGTGCGTTAGCGTTCTCCAACCGCATTCTGCTGATGTGAAGTCCGTGTTCTGGCATCCGATTAAGGAGGTATGAGTGCTGGTTTTTCGATTGGTGTACCTTTTCTTCACCTGACCCGACGTCTAATCCTAGTTTTATCTTTGAGTGATCCGTGTTTTTATGGGTATTCGATTTTCTGGAGGCGGACAACAGTGTTAAATGGAAAAAATAAGCATTTTTTTTATCGTTTTCGTTTTTTTCTTTGCTAATGTTGGATTACTTTGTTGCACAAGGGTGGATAGATAGAGTATTACTGGTCCTTTTGTGCATCCCGATTTGATAAGCATTAACGTTTTATGCTTTATAATGCTTGCTTTCTCATAAAATTTTAGTCACTTCCCTTTGGCTATACTTTGGCGCTTTCCATTAATCACAAAGCCTTTTTGTGTAAATAAATTGTGCTGCCTGGAATAACGCTCAAGCAGGTGTTTGATTTTTGGCAGTAAATGATAACAGTTGGTGTAAAATAATATTTTCCCACCTAGATGGTCAAGTTACGTTATCAATAAAATATATATGTGATTGGTTCAATTCTTTGAAAACAAGCGTCATAATGGATGTCCTGTGGAATTCCTAACGCTGCGATGGTCAAACTTCGTGCTATTAATTGGAATAGACGCATGCCGCTTTCACTACACCCTGAGATGCACTTGATGCTTTTTGTATTTCAATACCTTTGCCGTTTGAATGCGTTTATTTTATTTGATAGCAAAGTAGTTAGATAGTTAAGTCACCTAGCCAAAATAAATGCAACCTAACGGGAGTAAGAAGTTGTATTTAAAATATTTTGCAGCCTGGCAATAGCGCTATCTTCAAAATTACCATACCTCGACACTTAGTCTCTTCCTTTGGTCCCGCAGATTCTTGGTTCCACCAGTTATGACAACACAATCAACCTCTATAAGGAAGAACTAGACGACTGGGTCGTCGCCTGTAAATTAGGTGAGTTTTTGTATTATTCTGTCTTACATTGACTCATTATTGAATCTGCTATAACTAATGACGAAGAAGCATCTTGTTTTGGGCTTTCGATCGTTTTATGAAAGACATAGAGCCAAATTTTGAACTCTACCAATGCATTTCTTAACTGCTATGTACCACTAGAGAGTTCAAAGGCGTTTGCCTATATCTCTCTTAATAAACTAACTTAAGTTTGGAAGCCAGGTAACTCCGTATAATTCGTGCCTCTGTGAATGGTTTTGGTAACCTTGCCAGTGGTCTAACTGTGTAGAACATGGTCGGTGGGAGAGGACTCGAAGCATTTATCGATTGATTCATAACAGAATTCTTACCCCTCTGTCACCTATAAACCTGTATTGTTCACGGACCATTTAACTACCTTTTTGGTAGCAATTCCACAGTACACTCTTTGTGTAGATTGAGCGACCACGAGATGTGGTGGGTGTTTACATTGTAAGACCGTCTTTGTTCGTGCGACCTAGTCTCTGGTTTTTTATCTGATAAATGACGTCGACCACCAGAGCCAATCCGCAAACAAACAAGCGGAATTCGATTGGTGAGTGTCCCCGTTTAAACCCTTGGTAGTTTTACCTTCGTTGTACCTCTGAAACCCAGAGAAATAAATTCTTTCCTTCCCCGGTTTTCTGCTCTTCTATCAGAAAGCGTTTCTGGGATGCTTATCGTCTCGTCGACGCTCGGTTCTGCACACTGTCGATCTTCATTTTTCTCTTTTGGAAACTAGTTGGTCATGAGTCTACCGTCTGGAAGGCACAGTTTTCGCCTTCTGGTCAGCATTTGGCTTCTGCTAGCGAAGACAAAACTCTTCGGATCTGGACCGAAATGCGTAAGTCAATCAGTCGCCGCACTTAATTTCCTTCTAGCCGACTCGAAGCCCTTCCACTGGGTCTGCTGCATGACTATTTCGGATGCGCATTCGCAACCTGTCTACGACTTGGCATGGTTAGTTCCTCTCAGGTTAATTTGCTTTTTTTGGTTTTGCACGTAACTTTCGGTTGTTTTTCTGTGCTTCCATATCACCTCATTTTTGTTTATAAAATGGTTAGCCTGCCAAACGCAATGAAGGTCGCCACAACCTCGGGGAAGTCATAATGATTCGTGTGTGAATTACTTTTAAGGGGAGAGACTTGCGCCGGACCCAGTTCAATCGCTCTTTCCACACCCCTCATCTTTTGGCGGTTAGAATGCAACGAGATGGTTTGATATGGGCTTCAGCTTTGTGACTCATCAGTTAACTAGCGTTTTAGAAGAGGATAAAGTGCTTTTATTCTTAGATAAAGGAGGCGATATGGAAGGGAACAAAATTAAACTTTCGTTAGATAACGCATTCATCCAGCAGGGCCTTCAGCCGACACCGCTTTCAGTCCTATGTAACATTTTTGTGACTACTTTCTCTCTTGGACTTCGATTTTCATTGCCAGTGACGGTTTTAATCGTCATAAATCCGGCTTTTGCCCGACGACTGTGATGAAGAGTTTCTGGTTTAGCACAACAAGCAAATGTCACAAGTGACTATGAAGTAGGGTACGCCCCGCTGACGAGAAGGGTC